CCCCCCCCCCCCCCCACCCGAGGGCAGTGCTACTGACTGAAGTGTCATTAGGCCATTCCCAAAGGGGGGACATTAACATGTTATTGTGCACAGTAGAATTGTAACTGGGCTGATTTATCAATGTCATGCTCATACTGTGACGGAACAACATGGGGGGAACTGCTGCTTTTTCTTTCCTCATCCTTACTATCGTCATTTTCCTACTACTTTTTCTGTATATTTGTCACTCTTTTGTGAACCGCTATTTCCGGAGTGCCTTGATAGTCGAAGCAGACTTTGTGCTGTTAAGGCTAGAGAGGTGAGCAGAGTAAGTCTGATTCCACGTTTGAACTTCTCTGTTGACATCCACCCCTTGACGCTCAAATGACCTCATGCAGTTGCGAGCGCCGTAAAACCTGACTACATCTCCCAACTGACCCTTTGCTTGTTGAGATTGTCGGCGACCTGCAGCTCCATGATGGCGGTTGGGGTATTGATCTGCTCCTCGGTCATGGACTGAGACTTGAGGTCCACCCTCCAGGAAACTTTCTGCAGGGAATTGCCCCACATGGTCTGAGAGACGATGCTGTCGTGGATCTTGGCCTTGTTGCCCTTCCAGAACTTTCTCATCACCGCGGCCTGCTCCTCACTCATGCCCCCTTCCTTTCTCTTCATCTGAGCCGTGAGGAAAGCTTCCAGCTGCGTCATGTCCATGTCGGCTGAGACGAGGTTCTGGGGAGAAACCAAACAGCATCGTTACATCACACGTCACACCACGCCAAACAGCATCGTCACACCACGCCAAACAGCACCGTCACACCACACCAAACAGCATTGTCACACCACACCAAACAGCATCGGCACACCATACCAAACAGCATCGTCACACCACAACATACATCATGTATACACTGTATTTAGGGGTATGAGAACACATACATACTGTGCAAAGATGAGAGCAACTATACGGTACACATGTATGTATACACGGTACACATGTATGTATACATGGTACACATGGGTATGAGAACACATACATACAGGGGTATGAGAAAATTTACTTTAGTTCTCCAAAATTGAACCCACGACCTATTGAATGAGAGGCGAACACCTTAACCTCAAGACCACTAGAGCCCCCTTAGACTAGGCAGTTTAGTGAAAATTTCAAATTTGTCTGATATGCTTTGAAATACTTTCATTTGAAAGCTCTTGCCTTCATGATCATAAAACAGTTTAAATTTTGTTGATATCTTTATTAGTTAAAAAGTTTTGGCCATTTTTCATGCCTAAAATCCGGCCACTTTCAGGCCACTTTTACAACGGAGTTTTTGTGACAGCAAAACGTAACGTAACAACACAAGTGACCGTTACTCTACACAAGTGACCGTTACTCTACACAACTGACCGTTACTCTACACAACTGACCGTTACTCTACACAACTGACCATTA